CTGCATCTCTCATTGTCCATTGTGTGTGTGTGAGAAAGACACATACAGACACACAGTAGGCAGGCAGCAGATCCTTACATGCTGTATTAACTTTGTCTTTCCCCAGTATTCATTTCTGTGTTCCAGTAAAACCACAAGTAATTACTTAGTCCCTGTACAAGCAGAAGATGAAAAATGTGGTATGAAAGTCACCCCTGTAGACAATGACAGTGACAGTTACTTGGTAAAATGATAGAGCCTAAATTGTTGAAATTGATTGAGAATCATGCTCCATATTAGTAGTTTTAATTTTTTGATACTGTGTAGTTGACATACGTGAATTATTATGAAATCCTGTAGATACAAAACAAGCAGTACTCTTCTATTTATGTACTGGAACTACTTCTTCCTAAAATAATAAACCTTAAGCTGGTAATCCATCTGTATTTCTCCTAATACACATTTCTCCTATTTTATTTTAATATGCAAATAAAAGGCACTATGTATCATGACTTAAATGTAAATCTCTGCTGATGAGAGATCATCTTTAAATTGAATTTTCCTTAAATTTTATATTTCAAATTTTAGTTTTCCTTAAATTTTATGTTTTGGTTGTTACAGATACTATTTGGTTATCATAGAGTCTATTAATTTGGGAAGCATGCATACTTGAAAAATATAGTTTTAGGGACAGTTATTTTGAATTGTTTTGAATCATTTCAAGTGCTTTTCCTTTCCTCTTACCTTATCAGACACAGTGAGAAAAAACAAAAACATGCATTTAAATGGGTAACTATTTTAGAAATTAAATTTAGAGTAGAAATAAAATACCTTAGTACTTTTTCCATCCAGGTATTTATCCTCATAATCTTGGCTAAAAACGGTTTCTTCAAGATTATCTGTTCCATAATCATAGATAATGCGTGAATCCTGCTGAGATGGTGGTGCTGGCTTTATCAGAGGCACAAACAGGAACAGGAGAAGTGTAGATTGCAGAGTCTTCATTTTAATAGAAATTAAGGTGACTGAAAACTAATAAGCTAGTGGCCTGCTGACTGTGGGACAATACTCTCTTTTTCCCTGGAAATAAAAATGCAGACCATAGAAGCAATATTTAAAAGCTTAGAGGACTTTTTGGCAGGGTACACGCAGCAGGGGCCAGCGAACAGTGTTTAACCCTTTGTGATCTTTAATTAGATGCTAAAAGTTTTTATGTATCAGTGATATTCTGAAAAATAGTTTCAGAAAATGGTTTTAGTTCTTTTTCTATCAAAAATCCAAGCAACGTTGATAATTTCAGTTTTTTAATAATTAGTTACCTTGAACAAAGGTATACAATTGAAGTCTTCTTAGAATACCTGTGATATAAACAGTTAAAATGAAGACCCATGATCCTGTCTCATGTGAGTTAAAAATATCATATTTCAGCTTTGCTACTTTATAAGAACGCCTGATTTGTATTGGTATGAGCAGAAACAAGTTCCAGGAACAGTTTTAGAACTTAAACTTTAAATTTAATATTATGAAAAATAGTCATTAACACTTTTAGGTGATCCAGAATATTGAAAAAGCCATAATTTCAAATTCCTCAGTTTTATAATTTCCATAGATATAATTATTTTTAGTTAATAGCATTTATTTTAAAATTTAAGGTATGAAAAATACAAAAAATAGTTTTGCAGACTAGAAAAATAATAGAACTTTAATCAAAGATTTCAAGGGAATGAAATAGGAAAGATTCTTTTAGGCTCACCACTGGATTTTATCTGGTGGTGTACATTTTATACTTTTTCTTAAGTAACTTCAGACAAAATCACTCAGAATTGCTGGTGCTGCATTTTAGATACTAGTTTGTCAAAAAAGTCAATGGTTGAAATTAAGCATAACATGGTTTTGTGACTTTTACAGCACGCTGTTCTTGCCTGCATGGACATTCAAGTTATGCGGTGATATACTTAAGTGCTTGTTAAAAAATAGTTGTCCGAGGTAACTGAAACTTACAAAGATTAAAGATTGCCTTTACATTTACTAAGATTGTTAGATGTCACATTTTAACAAACAATATTTAAAATAATAGGTGAGAAAAGAGCCTACCGTTGTAGCTGTTTTGAAGTTTTTTGTGGTTTTCCTCAATAGATGGTCATGGCTCGCATTAGCCCCAAGTGGGAGGGTGAATGAGAAAAGCTGTGGAGTGATTTCAAACTGTTGAATAGAATTTCAGGGCCCAACAGCTTTACAAGCAGTTTCCATGTGGTAGAGGTCTTTGCCAACATTCTTTCTGCAGGGTGAAATGCAGTGTGTTGTACTAGAGAACTAAAATATTTGTAACTGCGGTACTCAGATTGCTTCCACTGATTATCATAAACTTCTGTTATTTTTTACCTTGTGTAGTAAGTACTCATAGCACAAATTATTTTTTAGCTTAGTCATTTGAGGCCCACTTCCCCCTTTATTTTGTTACATGTAACAAAAATTCAGCTGTCAGAATCAGCTTTTTAAATATAAATGTTAAAATTTGGGATTTGATAGTCAAATATATTTGTTTGCTGAATGAAGAAAATAGTATTAATTCCCTTACTATTATTTTTTCTGAAGTTGAAGTGGTATTTAGATAACTGTGTGAACATCTTTAAAAATTAATTTTATCACTGGTACTTTTAGCAATCAAAGGAACCTTTCTTTCTCTTCTCAGCTGAAATTTCAGTAAGTGTGGATATGAATATTTGGTTAAAAAAAAAAACTAGAAAGTGAAAGAATACTGGTTTGTTTACTTTTCCATTCAAAATTGACTTTGGAGTTTTTTGAATTAAAGCTTGAATTAAAAAAAAGCTTGAATAAACTAAGACGTGAATACTTACATTTTTACTTGAATGTGAATTAGCTTTAAATTTAGTTGTGATATTCTCTGATATGGGTTGATTTTATGACTTTAAATTATTTGAAAATATCGATTTTATGACTAATATCTAGTAATGAAATAGCAGATATTGATTTGTTTTCTGTTGTGTGGCAGGTTTAATGGGATGTTGAGAAGTGAACTGAAAAGATGTTGAATAAATTTAGAGAATCTTAGAGGTTCATAGTTTACTGTGGTATACAGTTTGGTACTTTGTACTACAGAAAATTATTTTGTGGATTATAACTTTTTTTTTTCCTTGAAAAGTTATGACCAATGTGTATAGTTTTATTGGCATTCATTCATTTGTTGTTATTGTTCAGTCCCCCAGTCATGTCTGACTCTCTGCAACCCCATGGACTGCAGCACACCAGGCCTCCCTATCCCTTACCATCTCCCAAAGTTTGCCCAAGTTCATGTCCATTGCATCAGTGATGCCATCCAGCCATCTCATCCTCTGATGACCTCTTCTCCTTCTGCCCTCAGTCTTTCCCAGTATCAGGGATGTTTCCAGTGAGTCGGCTGTTTGCATAAGGTGACCAAAATACTGCAGCTTCAGCTTCAGCTTTAGTCTTTCTGATGAGTATTCAGGGTTGATTTCCTGTAAGAGTGATTGGTTTGGTCTCCTTGCTGTCCAAGGGACTCTCAGGAGTCTATTCCATTACCACAGTTTTGAAGGCATCAATTCTTCATCTCTCTGCCTTCTTTACCCAGCTCTCACAACCGTATGTGACCACTGGGAAGGCCATAGCCTTGATTATACGGACCTTTTTCAGCAGAGTAAAATCATTCATTTAGTAGAAGTTTATTGAGTGCCACTTCTCTGCCAGTACTGTAGAAAAATAAACCCAGACAAGCAAAACTCATTTTCTCCCTTCAAGGAGGAAGAGTTTGTAAGTAAGCAAGAATGGCAGCAAACAAGCAATAGAAGGCACAGTGAGCAACCTGCTACACAGAAATATTCTGCAGTGATCTGGGAAAGGGCAAAGCCACTGAGGCGGCCCCAGTCTTACTTCTGTAGAGAAAGTGAGGGGTAGTCAGGGCAGGAGCAGACCAAGGGAGAATTGCTGTAGGAATGGGAACAGCATATAGGTGGGGAGGATAGATCATTAAGATAATTTATGATTAGTTGTATATGGCTGGAGCTTAGAGGGAGAAAGAGAAGTGTTTAGGGGGGTGGTACACATTAAGAGATCAGACAGGGTACTTGAGGTCAGATTAAGGAAAAGTCTTTTGTACCTTGCTGTGGTGTTTGACTTTTATTTGTATTCAGTGAGAGACTACTGAGAATTTTTTTTAAGCCAGAGAGTGACATGATTCTATTTTCATTTTGGAGATAGCCCTCTAATGTTGCATTTCTGAAGAATAAGACTACTTACCTATTTTATTGGTTATTTATTACAGGTATAGTGATCTAAAATAACACACCTTTATTATCCCACAGTTTCTGTGTCTCAGGAGTCCAAGTATGGCTTTGCTTGTGCCAAGTTGTTTCAGATGTATCCAACTCTTTGCAACCCTATGGACGGTAGCCCTCCAGGCTCCTCTGTCCATGGCTTTGCTTATATCTCATCTGCAGTCTCTGTTGGCTAGGGCTGTGCCCTCTTTCCACTGGTCAGTAGGTAAAGGTGTATGAGCCCATGTGGTTGTTGGCCACAGCTCCATTCAGAATGTGGGACTAGGGGCCTCAGTTTCTTGCTTGATGTTGTTTGAAGGCCACCCCCAGTTATTTGCAACGTGGCCTCCACCATTGGGCAGCTCATATTATGGCAGATTTCTTCTTCACAGCCAGAAAGGAAGATTAGTGTTCCAACAAGATGAACAGTACCATTTTTGTAGCAATCATGTACCTGTAATCATATATGCTATCTTTTTGTAGTATTTTGAGATCAGAGGTCATATCCACATTGAAGGGGAGATGACTGCACAAGAAAGATTCTAGAAATATTCAGAGTTACACCGAAAAATATGTATGTTCCCTCCCAGAGTTAGCCAAACTAAAGTTTGAGAGCACAGTTCCCAAGACCATCCTCATTTCTTATACCAACTGCAAGTTTGAGAGTTTCCCAAAACCACCCTTACATTTGATAATTTGCTTAAAGGACTCGTGGAACTCATAGAAAGCCATTATTTCATGGTTATGGTTTATCACAGAGAAAAGATGCACATAAATATCACCCCAAGGAAGAGAGACAGTAGTCAGAGTCTAGGAGGGTTCCACATATAGAACTTGTATTGTTCTCAGGATGTTCTCATCAGTGCCCTCCCAGCATTGATGCATGACAAGGAACATGGGTATTGCCAACCAGGAAAGTGCTATTGAACCTCATGGTTCAGCTTTTACTGGGGCTTCATTACATAGGCATGATCAATTGAGTATTCCACATGGTTGAACTCTGCCCCCAGTTTGACTGATACTACATGACCCATCCTAAACCACGTGGTTGTCTTTCTGGCATGGCCAACCTAAGACTGTTGGGTTTGGCCTGTCCCAACCTAAAATCTGTTGTTGTTGTTGTTGTTGATCAGTTGCTAAGTCTTGTCGAGCTCTTTGCACCGCCATGGACTACAGCCCTCCAGGCTTCTCTGTTCTTCACTATCTCCCAGAGTTTGCTCAAACTCATGTTCATTGAGTCAGTAATACCATCCAATCATCCCATCCTCTGTCACTGCCTTCTCCTCCTGCCCTCAGTCTTTCCCAGCATCATTGTCTTTTCCAATGGCTTTTCACATCAGGTGGCCAAAGTATTGGAGCTTCAGCTTCAGCATCAGTCCTTCCAGTGAATATTCAGAGTTGATTTCCTTTAGGATTGACTGGTTTTATCTCCTTGCTATCCATGGGACTCTCAAGAGAATTGTTGTTGTTCAGTCGCTAAGTCATCTTGTGACCCCATGAACTGTAGTACACCAGGCTTCCCTGTTCTTCACTATCTCCCAGAGTTTTCTCAAATTCATGTCCATTAAGTATAACCCCCATTTTAAACGAAGATATAGATAATTCCTAGAAGCTGAACAAGGCCCAGACTGCTCTTTGGAGTCAAATTCTTTACTACTCCATTTCCAGTGTAAAATATGTTTCAAATTTAGATGGTTTTCTACTCCAGAAAGAACTATTTAACTGTCACTGCACAGTAATAAAAGATGAATGCCTTCAAGGCTCAAGAGCAGGCACTTATCCAAAATTGAGAGGGTTATCTCTGTGGAGTTCTTTTTGTTAACCCTACTACATTATCCTTGGTATCTTTGTAGGGTTTTATGTCTTTGAAGGTGTATCAGAATTTTATCTTGTGTAATCATTGCTCCTTCAGTGTGTGAAAGACTTCTGACTTGTTTCTAACCAACATTCTGGGCTTTTTGTGGGAAGTCTATGATTTGAATCTCCATCTCAAATACCTGCTTATGCCTAAAGCCTAGTCATTTGGTCAAATGGAATAGAGATGGGAACCCAAGTACTTTCTGCACTAGAAGGCTAAAACTTAAAGGGAGGGGAATTATGACTCAATATAAATAAGGGTTAATGTTTATAATGGATCATATTTGTGATTTTAATTTTTCTGAGTAGTCTATACATAAGTCTCCATATAATAAGTTTGCAACCTAAACATGCAATGACAGACATATCCAGAAATGCTGTGATATTTACTTGCTGGGCATAGCAGGTTATATTTATTTAGGAAATTGGAACATAAAAGAAACTGGATTTTTAGCTGTTCTGATTTAATTTTGTTTCCAGCTGCTATTATTCTTCATTTCCAAGATTTAGAAAAGATGGATTTGGAATCAGGAAATTGGAGTTTTAGTTCTAGCTTTCCTTGGACTTCTTTGCTACAGTAAAAGTATACAGAAGAAACAGGTTTATTTTTTTCAACTTTCATACCATGGAATTGGTTGAGTGTGTTATATGATATGCATATATCTGCATTTTGGTTTAGTGGTTCCACCTTGAGGAATAAAATAAAAAATATAGAGTTTTCAGGTTATACTAAAATACATGCTAAACATTCTCAACCAGTAGATTGTAAGCAAATTTATTGAATATACTTTATTTTTATTTCCTTTTGTAATATATTTGTTAAGCTTGGGTTCGTGGTGTCATTTGAATTTATTCATTAGTGGGCACAAAGACAGAAAGTTCAACCTTAGAGCTAATATAGCTGATATTTTGAAGTGTAATGAGAAAATTGATGAATTTTCATCTTTTTCTTTCCTGATGTATCAGCTGGTTTTGTCTATAACTCTGGCAGGAGGTAGAACTTTATTCTTCTGCTCTGCAGAAAGCATGGGTGGTTATTTGTTTTGTTTTCTTTTTACTGAGAACTGCTTGGAGTATGAGTTCCTCTGGGTGTTTTTGAGTAATGTAAGATGGTTGTTCATCTGCCTCCCTCTGGGCCCTGCAGCTGGAGGACATTTTGTGACATATTTATATGTACTTGCCTTTAAAGGGAGAGCAGAGTTGGCCTCTTTGATCTCTTCTGTCTAATAGATAGGAAGAGTTTCACCTTACTCTGGCCAGAGGAGCCAGGCAGCCAAATGCCTCGTGAAGGGTCTGGGAAACTCTGCTCCCCATCTTTCTAGGTTATCTAGAGGTGCTTTGGAAAGTTAAACCATCAAATAATGACTTGGAATATGTTTTTTGTGGATATATGATTTTAGATCTCCTCTCTCCCTAACGAAGCATTTAGTAAATGCTCTCTTGTTTACTAATCTTTTGTACAAATAGAACCTTGGAAGGAACCTGAAAGATGCAAGCTCCTTTCTAGAGAGTGCACTGAGGCATGTGAAGCACAGCTAACGGCTCAGGGCACGTAGATGCAGTGGGAGGTTGGGCTGGACGTGCTGCAGTAGTAGTTACTGCTTGTAGGATACCTGTAACTGGCATGCACGTGTGTGTGCTCAGTCGCTCTTTGTGACCCCCCAGGCTGTAGCCTGCCAGCCTCCTCTTTCTGTCGAATTGTCTCGACAAGAGTACTGGAGTAGGTTGCCATTTCCTCCTCCAGGAGATCTTCCCTACCCAGGGATCAAACCTGCATCTCCTTCGTCTCCTGCATTGCAGGCATTCTTTACTGCTGAGCCACAGGAAACCCTTGTAACTGGAATGTGCTTTGTTAAATGCTATGGTATGTATATACTATCTCTACATGTCCTTATAACAGCTCTGTGAGAACCACTTTCCTTACAGAAATGCAGAAAGAGAGACTTCAAGAAGTAACTCACTCAGAGTCATCTTACTTAGCTGCACGAGTGAAGTCAGGCTTCTACCAAGGTATATCTGATTTCAAATTCCATGTTACCATCAAGTTTTTTCTTCGCTAAGCCTGCTCTTAAATGTATCTTCTTTTGTCAGTTTAGGAGGAGATAAAAATAGGTGCTCCAGAATTCTCAAAATTTGGAGTGTTTTAACTGTACAAGAAGCAAAACAACTAATTACCTCATCTTTATGTTAGTCTCACCTTGGAACCTTATTTTCTTCCCCCCTGCCAGTCAGTCACTACTCACACATCAAAGCACCACCTCTACCTTGAAGCCTTCAGTTGCTTCACCACATCCTGGCCAGAAGTTAATATATCTGTGTACATATGAAGTAAAGTGTAAAGTTAATAATATCTGTGTTCATATCAGTTTTCAGTTACTGCCACATTTTCTTTCTTTCTTTCTTTCTTCCTTTTGTTAGAATAAGTTATTACATCTTATTTTCTTTGTTAAATTTTTAAATAACAGCTTTATTGAAATAATTCACATCTCATACAACTCACTTTTTTAAAGGGTGCAATTCAGTAGATTTTGGTGTGTTCAAACTTGTACAGTCATCACTACAGTCAATTTCAGAATATTTTCATCACCCAAAAAGAAATTCTCTATCCATTCTCAGTCACTGCCTAGTTCCCCTGTTTCTCCTGCTCCCCAACCCCAGGCAGCCAATAATCTTTCTGTGTCTATAGTTTTGCCTGTTTTAGACATTTCATATAAATATAATCATGCAATACATGTTCTTCTGTGACTGACTTTTCACTAACTAGCATAATGTTTTCATGGTTCATCTGTATTATAACATGTATCAATATTCTTCCTTCTTTTGACTGAATAATATTCCATTGTGTGGATATACCACATTTTGTTTATCCTTTCATCAGCTGAAGGACATTTGGGTGGTTTCTACTTTTTGGCTATAAATGGATAATGCTGCTATGAACATTTGTGTACATATTTTTGTGTGACCACATGTGTTCAGTTTTCTTGGTGTATATCTAGGAGTGGAATTGTTGGCTCATAGGTGACTAACTGAAGGACTGCCAGACTACTTTCCAAAGTAGCTGTACAATTTGACTTCGTCACCAGTGGATTCCACTTTCTGTATACTTATTGTTATTCTGCCTTTTTGCTTTCAGCAATCCAGTGAATGTAAACTATCTGGTTGCAGTTTTTTTAAATTTGCATTTTCCTGATAGCGCTCATTAAATTTTAAATAGTCTTCTCTTTCTCATCTCTTAAAACATTCACAATATGTTATCCACAAAATTCCATATGTTAGCTCATAATAAATGTTTACATTTGTAACCCTATTTTTTAAAATGTCAGTAAAGGGGGAGATGGTCCTTAAAGTTTTTTACCTCTTTTGAAAATGTGCTTTACCCACATCACTAACATTTTACTCTTTACTGTCACAGCTGTTGTCTTACAGTGTCACAGATGCACATATCTATTCTGTTTGACCTCTCATTGCTAAGCCCTACATGCCAAATGACTTGATGAATGTTTATTAAGTGAATGAATGGGGTATTGTTCATATTCGTTCTGGATTGTTGAGCTAGCCCCTAGGACACATGGGTAGTCTGTTTCTCCTAAATGTTAATAACCTGCTCAAAGGTATAAATGAACATTAGAGGCTTCATTTTAAACTTGTCATCTCCAGAAAGTTAGACTCATTGCTAGAAAACTGCTTTTAAAATATTGTTCTAATTGTCTGATCTTTTTGAATACTGTTTAAAAAAAATTTTTTTTAGTAGTTTCCTATATAGGCAGTCCCAGATTTGTGTTTATTCCTTACCTGAAGAATTCTATAAAATACTAACCTGGTAAATCAAGAAAGTTCATCATAGAAGTTATAGTTCATTACAAAGCATACTTAAAATGCTTCAAAATGATATGTGATTATTAAGGTTTTAAAGAAGATATCAAAACCTGTCACTCAAATTTCAAAGGAATTCTATTCAACTTTAGCACTATGTACATAAACATTGGCTGATATACATATATGTTTCTAATATTTTGTGCTAGGAAAATAGAAGTGTTTAATAATGCTGATATACTTTCTTGTGCTAACATTAACTTAATCTTGTGAATAGAGCAATTATTTATTAGCATATTTTTATGTAATTAAAACCTTTCTCTAGTGACTTTATTATAAAAATATTTATCCCAATTAAAATGAAACATAGAAAAGATTGTGTTGTATAATAGCTGAAATTTGCTAAAATACAAATTGTGGTGTTTTTCTGGCATCCAAATGGGTGTCCCAGGTGGTGTCAGTGGTAAAGAATCCGTCTGCCAATGTGGGAGACATAAGCGATGCGGGTTCTATCCCTAGGTCAGGAAGATCCCATAGAAGAGGGCACGGCAACCCACTCCAGTATTCTTGCCTGGAGAATCTCCGTGGACAGAGGAGCCTGGCCAGCTACAGTCCATAAGGTTGCAAAGAATCAGATACGGCTGAAGCATCTTAGCATGCACACATGCTGCTGCTAAGTTGCTTCAGTCATGTCCGACTCTGTGCGACACGATAGATGGCAGCCCCCCAAGCTCCCCCGTCCTTGGGATTCTCCAGGCAAAAACACTGGAGTGGGTTGCCATTTCCTTCTCCGAGCATGCATGCATGCAGACATCCAAATACAAGGTTTAAGTTTTTGTTGCTTTGGTGCTCTGAGAGAAAAGTAAGACAAGTTGATTTCAAAGGCACATGTATCCCATTTTTCATTGCTGCACTGTTTACAATAGCTAGAACATAGAAGCAAGCTAGATATCCATTAACAGATGAGTTGATAAAGAAGTTGTGGTTCATATACACAATGGAATGTTACTCAGCCATAAAAAGGAACACCTTTAAGTCAGTTCTAGTGCAGTGAGTGAACCTAGAATCTATTATACAGAGTGAAGTAAGTCAGAAAGAGAAAGATAAATATCGTGTTCTAATGCATATATACAGAATCTAGAAAAATGGTATCGAAGAATTTATTCACAGGGCAGCAGTGGAGAAACAGACATAGAGAATAGACTTATGGACACGGGGAGAGGGGAGGAGAGGGTGAGATGTACGGAAAGAGTAACATGGAGTCTTACATTACCATGTGTAAAATAAATGGCTGATGGGAATTTGCTGTGTGGTTTTGGAAACTCAAACAGGGGCTCTGTGTCAGCCTGGAGGGGTGGGATGGGGAGGGAGGTGGGAAGGGGGTTCAGGAGGGAGAGGATATATGTATACCTATGGCTGACTCAGTTTGAGGTTTGACAGAAAACAGCAAAATTCTGTAAAGCAATTATCCTTCAATAAAAAATAAATAAATTTAAAACAAACAACAGAAAAGTAAGACTAGTTGATTTCATGAATTTGTGTGCCTTGAATCCTTAGTTAGGATAACCTCTTTTGAAAATCAAAGCTATCATTCTATGCTATAAGTGGTAGGACCAGGGTGGGTGGCTGTCATGGTGATGATAGCCAAATAAAAGTATGAAAGCTTTTCTGGAGATTAGATCAAAGAAAATAGTCTATTCCTTAAATGAGTTGCTGCCTATTACATTAATATAACCTCTTGGCATTTAAACACTATACTCATAGTGATTTAAAGTGCGTGGTTTACCATTGTTAGCTTCTAATGCTACTTCTTTCATCATTTTTAGAAAAATTACTGTGTAAATAAATGAGCATACCTGTTTTTTTTCTCAGCATGATAATTTTATGTTCAAAGTGTAGTTTTTGATCCTACTTGTCATTCTAATTTATATTTCTACAAGATTTGTATCATTTTGAGTAAGTTCTAATCCTATATAATGATGCAGATGTTATCAACAACCTAAATTCAATCTGATCTTAGTATACTAAGTACTCAATTCTAACTATATTACTATGAGCTATGCATATTTAGCTAAATTTATATTGAATAATAATATCTTATGAAGTTATAAATGTATACCTATATAGTTCCTTGCCATTCTTGACTTCCATAATAGTTAGCATCAATGTTTTCTTCTGTTCCTTCTTCTTCTGGGCCTTCATGATGATCATCATGATCTTCACTATCACCATCATCTGGAAATCTCCTGAAAACTTGGGTCTTCAGTTGTATCGTTTGACCATTAGTGCTTTGTTGTTCACCATAATAAATAGTGTGTATATGAGGGAAGCAGAGGAAAATGTATGAGCTTATTGGTGCTTTCAGCTTATTTTGATCTACGCGAATATATGTTAAATGGTGGTAATGTAGTGGATCAACTGATGGACACATCACTGTGACATTGATATCTGAAAAATACAAATTAAAAATTAATCCTTCTGTATTATATCCATAATACTATAATGGGCTTTATTAAAATACTTATTAGATTTAATTATTTTTATAGTAATCAAATAATAAAATGAATAAAATGAAACTATAAATGAATTTTATATTATCAAAATAAATGATGGCTTCATTGGCCATTAAGTAATTATTTAATTACTAAATAAATTATTCAAGTAATAAATTCTTAGCAGAAACAATCTCAGAAAAAAAGTGAAAATCACATATAGTTCTACTATTCAAGATCTCATATTTCTTTGTATACTCTATAGTATTTCATATTTTTTTATATACTTTATAGTACATATTCTCAAAGTTCAAAGTAATAACATTTAATAGAAAAGACTATAAACCTTGAAGTACAAATTTCTCTGGGGCCTGTTTCTGCCATTTCCCTAGCCAGCTTCAAAGCAACCATTTGTAATTTGTAGCACCATGTAAAGCATGGGTTTTTAAAGATCTGTTCTTTAAAAGAACAAAATAAGATTTTTTATGTCTTTAAAAGACAATAATGGACTTCCCTGGTGGTTCAGTGGTTAAGAATCTGCCTGCCAATGCTGTGAACACAGATTCGATCCTTGGTCTGGGAAGATTCCACATGTAGCGGGGCGACTAAGCCGCTGCACCACAACTCCTGCACCCACACTAAAGCCTGTGGTGCTCCAGCTAGAGAGTAGCTCCCGTTTGCAGCAGCAAAGACCCAGTACAGCCATAAATAAATAGATAAATCAAATAGGTAACCAACAAGGACCTACTGTCTAGAACAGGCAACATTACTCAATATTTGGTAGTAACCTAAATGAGAAAAGAATTGAAAAAAACAGATATTTGCATATGTATAACTGAATTCCTTTGCTATACACCTGACCCTAACACAACATTGTTATTCATCTATGCTCCAATATAAAATAAAAACTATAAATAAATAGTAAAACACAGACACACACAAAATGAAATTTTACATACTTTCAATTTCATTATTTTCTAGGTATAGGTGTTCTAAATTCCTTGGAATATAGAATGCTTGCTTCAGTTTGTTGTGTCCAACATTGAGCTCTATAAGGTTGGAAAGATTAAAAATATTATGTGGAATGTCTTGTAGTTTGTTGTGTGATATTCTTAGAGCGTGAAGTTTCGGAAGTTCGTTGAAGTAATTTTCTGGTATAGAAGATATTGAATTGTTTTCTAAAGACAGATACATAAGTGAAGAAGGCAAACCAGGAGGCATTGATTCTAATCTGTTATTACACAGGTTGAGCTGCATCAATTTTTCCATTTTGGCAAGTACTTTTGCTTGTAACATAGAATCATCAATTTGATTAAAACAGAGGTCAAGCATGGTCAGGTTTACAAGCCCATTCACAGCATTTGTCTGCAGTCTGGAGATTTCATTGTAACCTAGAAAAATCCTTTCCAAAGACTTAGGAAGAGGAAATGGAAAGTCTTCTAAATTGTTATGCTGTAGGTGAAGCTGTAGTAGATTTGACAATTTAGCAAACACACCATGATCAATCTTTTGAGATTTAATTTTATTGTGGCTGAGGTTGATTTCTTTAAGATGAGTGGCATTGATAAATGAATCAGCAGTCACAGCCTCAATTTCATTGAACTGAAGATAGACTTGCTGAATGTGTGCTGGAATATTTGGGATAGTCTTTAATTTGCGATTATCACAGTACATTGATGATGGAAAGTTAGGTGGACAGAAGCATTCACTGGCGCAACCTAAAGTATGCTGATGAAATGGAGCTTCATAGTTTATATTTTGTTGAAATTGGAATTCAGTTTGGTAGACATCATCTGGTTCTTGGTCATAATCTTCATCCCATTGATAACTTTCATATTGGCAATATACTTTGACTCCAAGAAAGAAGAAAAGGACACATACTGAACTTAAAAAGCCCATGTTCCTTTTTTGTCCTATTACAAGACAAAAGGAAATATATAGTGGAAAAAGTGAGTGAAACATGTAGTAATTCTTATATAAATTGACAGTTATGTAAAATTCACAATATCTGTGTCTGATTTGAAATATGTAAAAAAATGTCCAGAATTAATTTCTGCTGCTCAGAACAAAATTAATGTTTAAGGTGATATTTTTTTAAAAGCCTCATACTGCATTGAACCAGACTAAGTAATCATCTTTTTAGAGAATCTCGATTTGTCTTGCTTACTAGACTGTGGATTCACAATGATAGCATGACATCTTTCTACCCCAAAGTTGAGTGCTCTTTCCATATGGATGTTAGATGTTCTCATTATTTGGCCCCTTCAGTTATGTTCACTACCTATGAGAAGAGAGACTCTATATTAATTAGGAGATTATTAATACTGACCAAAATTTGCCCACTGTAACTCCTGTTTGTTGATGTTTTTTTCTTTTCTTTGGAAAAACATAGAACACTCCATTTTATGTGAAAGCTTGAGATATTAAAAATAAGTATCATGTTTCCTCTTAGTGTTTTCTATCCAAGTCTGATTGTCACTTCAAATTTTCCCTGTGAAATAGTTTCCAGAATCCAATTATTTTGTTTCTGACTCTACTTGAAAAACTGCATCAAATCCTAGATATACACAATATTTACATTCTACAAAGTTTTAGTTTCTAATTGGTTATTCTATACGTTTTTCCAAATTCCCCTCCTAGCTTTTTTCTTTCCACTATTTTTTTTTTTTAGTTAGTTTAGATACACAGGTATTAAAAACACACTCTCCTAATTTCCTAGGAGTTTAGGTCTAGTAGAGAATCAGACATGCAATACAGTGAATAGGAGGGTATGTGTGAGGTAGGATTGTAAAGAAGGGAGCGCTCAGCTTATAAAAGAGAGACAAATGACAGCAGTCGAGCTGAAACTTGAAGTTGTAGTGATTGATGGGATATGTGTACTGGATGAGGAGCCTGAAAACCTTCATTTCAGTCCTATCACTTCTGACAGTCGAGTCACTTATATCTGCCTCTTGCCTCATCAGTAAAATAAGAACTATAATCACTTGCCTGCTTATCTCACTTGGTAGTTGTTATTGTCATAAATGCATATGAGGAATGCATATTAAAGTACTTTGCAAATTAGAAACTGATCCAGATGGAATAAGTATGTTATTTAGGAAAAGTTAAAAAAAATCATACCTCTTATTCTAAGGCCATTTTTCTCTACCCTTCTCATCCAGGATTTCATGAGAAGATTAATATTCTAATAGAATTAATATCTTACATCATTGTATGTAATGAAACAGCTTATGCCCTGTTCATCTAGAATGGTATTATTTTTCATCGTTGGATAAATGAAAAAATCATTTCCTTGAGAAAGGCTGCCCTAGATCCTAACAACTTAAGTTTCTTAGTCTTTTTTCTTTTCTTATCAGAATCTGAATAGTACAGAATGTAAATATTCCTCTAGTCTCCCAGGTGCCGCTAGTAATGAAGAACCCGCCTGCCAATGCAGGAGATGTAAGACATACACGCTTGATCCCTGGGTTGGGAAGATCCCCTGGAGGAGGGCACACCAACCCACTCCAGTATTCTTGCGTACAGAATCTTGTGGACAGAGGAGCCTGACAGGCTACAGTCCATGGGGTCGCAAAGAGTTGGACACGATTGAGCAACTTCACTTCACTGAATCTTCATAGTCCAACCCTGGTTACTTCAATTCTCCATCCTCCCATAGCCTGACTCATGCAGCTGGCAGCATGAGAGAAAATAGGACAGGGCCAACTGGCTCACTTTAAAGTCATGACCATTAGGTGCTGCCTGTTGTGACATCTCGTTAGTCCATTCCTTTTCCCTTCCTCGTACACAAGCCTCTGAAACCTCACCGTTGGTTTTGGATGGTGACCCTGCTTCCTTTTTCACTCAGAAACTATGATAGATAATCAGTACTCTTGCTTGGAAAATCCCATGGACAGAGGAGCCTGGTGGGCTACAGTCCATGGGGTCGCAAAGAGTCGGACACGACTGAGCGACTTCACTTTCACTACTCTAATGTGTTGTCTTGTGTTTAATCCTATTCCTTCCTACAGAAAATGCCAAAACAGTAATGATTTGATCTTTTTAAACAATTTTGACTTTGAAATTTGTAGTTTCCTTTTGATAATCAGTTAGACTCCATCTGTTGTTCCTTCTTATCCATTTGATCCATGTAGGACATGGCATTTAAATTAGACTTTAAAGGAATATGAGGGTTCTCACAGAGGGAAGTAGAGAAGAAAATAGGCAGATAAAAGAAATGAGCAAAAAACATGTAAAGCAACAAAGGATGAAATGTTTGGGAAGTTGTGGTTAACTGTTGAAATAGCAAAATAAGTTTGTACAACTGATCTGGCCCAGAACCTTGAGGCCTAAATTGTGATCTCAGGAATTTGTACATTGGGAATGAACACCTAGTTTAATTCATTAATATAGTTGAGCCATGGTCTTCACACTGCAGTGTTTATGCATCAAATAAGAGTCCTGGGAGGGGAAGTGAAAGAATATGGTCGTAAGATCTCATCCCAAAGGACAGTGTTCAATGCTGGCTGATCCAGACTGGGAAGCTCCCAGTGGGTATGATTAAGAGTGCTTTTTCACCTGCTAGAATTAGTGACCTTGTACTAGATAATTGTGTGTTGAAATTATTAACAAAGCAGCTCACAAATATTACTAGTGATTTATTTAGTTTGATTTGGTTACTCGATGATTGTCTTGAATTTTAGGGGTGAGACACTGTGATCGGTGAGTAACACAGAATGAAAAAGACATGAAGGCATGGCTCCTTCTATAAAGAGCATTCAATTTAGTGGAAAAGAGAGGAACAACACAGTGAACCTATACTCAGACAGAGGGAAATATGGCTTGCAGCAGAGATATCAGTGCTGTGGGAGCCAGTGGCTTAACCCTGCAAGAGTGAGACAGGGAAATCTTTGTAGAAATCATTTGGCCAAGATTTGGGGAGATTAGCAGGAATGGATAATAGAACATTGTATACATATTACTCTCTGGTTGATAATATTTTACATGTTAAATTTGTAGTATTTTATATACTCATTATATCAGTACTATAGCATATCAACTTTTTAAAAAGTACTTATCATACTTCATTTAAAGTACTGCTCCATGGAGTAGAGATGAAAGTAGAAGCTAAGAGGCAGAAACATGCAACTATGCAGGATCAGGTGGTGTGGAGGGTCTCAGAGGTTGACTGTTACACAGTCAGACTTCAAAAACAGCACTACTCATCAGAACTCTGAATTTTACCCTGTGTTAAGAACATCAGTAATTATCAATTAGTAACCTTATATTTGAGAATTAAAGTTGTGACTATAAAGTAGTTATGAGAAATTTGGGGGGAAAAAGGAGACCTGGATGATACTTTTTAGTTCAGCCTTTACCTTTGACTTGGAAGACCTGAAGATGGGGGCCTTTCTGAAAATAAGGAGATTCTTCGTATTATCTGCTTTTGATCTTTTTGGCCAACTAAGAAGAAAGGTTTTTCCCTGAAGACAGTTTATCTTCTGAATCTGAGCTCATCCATTGAACCCTCATTCATTGAAGACCTTGGCTCTATAGCTCAACTTTGTCCCATTCCCTTCTGACTTACTGCAGTTTTCTGCTCAGAAATCCATTCCATCTTCATGGATATAGCCATTATTTTCTATTCCTCTTACTCCTCAACTTCACCCCTGATCATTTTACTTGTTACAGTGATCTTGTTTCTTTTCATCCAAATTTTTCATTCAGCTAACTGTTTACCAGTCATTTGTTAAGCATATTGTTATTACTTCTACCTTTGATGTTCAGCAATTTATGACATGTTTCCTATAGGATAAGTCATAGTGAAACATTATAACTCACTGTCAATCATCTCATATCCCAACTTCTAATTTTTGATAGGATGTAGTACAATGAACATTGTGGAAGTGCTCAAAAATTTGCTGAATGAATGATTGATTGATTAATTACAGATTACATCTTGTTGGTGATATTTATTACTACTAATGTTGATTGTTTCTAGGCATTTATTTCACCACAGTGATTTCTCTAAAAGAACATAGTCACAGAGAACATGGCTGTTTTCTTTTCTATTAAATATTTTTGTCACAATATACTATATTCACTTTTCTATTACCTTGTTTAATGGAAAAATAACAAATGTGATACAGAAAGTTTAAAGCAACGTGAAACATATTACCAGGCTTTTAAAAGTATTTGTTAATGTGTATTTTTCATATTATAGCTTAAAAAGTTGCAATGTCATAACATTTCTCCTACCTGGAAAACACTCGTACTTTCACCAAGAAAGTTCTAATTTAAATTACTAATCAAATTGAGATGGAATTTTGTTCTGGAAAGCTTAAAGTAATTTGAAAGCTTCATAGCATTTAATTATTTTAAATATTTGTCTCATTGGTATGCCATAGAAGCTAAAATGTAATAAGAGACCAACTCTTAGTATATAATTCAGAATTTTTTCCAAAGCAGTTTTAAATTTAAGTCTGTAAAATTAAAGTTGTATACATCAGTATCACACCCAAGGCCTAAAGAAGTAAGACTCTTTTGCTGTTAAAAATATGAAAGTCTCAAGATTATTTTTAGCCATAATACATTTGAATCTTAGTTAACTGAAACCCAAGAAACTAGATCCTTTAGAGCTATAGTACTTATATTTTCTCTTTGAGGAAGAGGCAAACACATTGTAATATTTGGTTAATAGAGAAATTTTGAGAAAATGTCCAATGAAATTTATACAAATACCCATTTCTTTACAATCAGAATCTCTAGCATTGCTCAGATGTATGACTCTAAGGTGTTTGCTGATTTTTTGTCAGCAACTTTTTTGTCAAAGTTGAGAAAGAGAAAGAAAGAGAAACAGAAAATTATTGTATTAACCTGAAAATCTTTCATTCAAAGTAAAAAATAAAAATCTAAACAAAGATTATTTATTGGGTAAACCTTAAGTTAGAAAATTAAATTTCCTGCATTACTTCTTTCCCTGAATATTTTGGCTAATCAAAATTTAATGTAACTTTTACCAGATATTGCTTACCAACATTATGCATTTATGGTGGCTGCAATCTATTTTAATGTTAAATCAAATATACTTTATTTTTAACAGCAGGAATATTTTTTTAAAAATTGAAAATTATTTTATCATCATACCTGTTGAATTTGCTTTAGTTTTCAGGGGCTGATGAATTTGCAAATCCTGTGAATGAATCAGAAATTCCTGAATTCTTAAACTGAGTCTCTTAAAAATCCACAGTAACTGTTGTGTTCAGGCAGGGCTGTCCCTTGAATTGCTATAGCAATTTAAGCAAATATAATCTGCTTGGAAAATACTTGGGTTGAATTAAAATTATGTATTTCTTTTCATTATCCAAAACTTTGTGGACTCTTAATTTAAATGCTTGTGTTCTTGGTCAGATTTATGTGGCTTACTTCTTTCTTTCCCCCTTAATTTTGGTTTGAGGAATGGCAAGAATTTCCTCTAATGTGAAAGGCAAACAGAACTAAATGAAACAGCATGTACTGATTACTGTTTTTATTTTCATTTTCATGCCAAAGAATTCTTCAAATTAAGGTTCACAGTAACATGCAGTTGAGTGTCATGGCATTTTAAGGTGGAACTCAGAGTCATCTTGAGACTTCGGTTATCTGATATCTTGTGTTCTCACCAGTGCTTTCCTTTATTAAGACAGAGAATCAGGATTAGAAATATACAGCATTTCACTTCTAGTTTATTTTAAAAATGAAATAGATTGTCATTTGTGACACAGATTAGATATATTGCTTTTCCATAAAAAGAATTATACCTTCTTTTCTATCAGCTTTCTCACTTACCTCCAAATATATCCACTAGCATACCTTCTAATAAAATATTTGAAATAGAATTATTCTCTTTGTTATGGAATTTACTCAGAAGGTATATCTCTGATTTGTCTACTTTTACTAGTACAAAAAATAATTTTATAATATTAAATAAGATGCAGTTAGGAACTTCTGTTGACCAACCATTTTTGCCTTTATTTTGCAAACGTAGGAAATTTACAAATTTCACTGAACAGTCTCTCCTGAAGAGTAGCAGTTAACTACTTAAATGCTATATTTTTATACTAATGTTTTCATATTTTAAACAGAGAGTTAACTTGTATCTCTTGGCAGTGAATTTTGAGTTCATTCTTTTGGGAGATTCTTTCAAGCTTGCACAAACTAATAAGGTAAAGTGATTCTTGAAATTTGTTTTTGTTTCCTCAAAATAGTATTTTCCATTAAGTTTTTACAAATAGCTCTCAAGATTTATTTTGTTATACTTCAGACTTTTTAAAAAAGTGTACGGTGTTTCAGGAGATGTTTTGGCAGTATTATAAAAATCTTATCTATTATTTGAGACACTGGTATGTAAAACGTGGCAAATCATATTTGGGCCAAGATTTCATCCCGTTACTGATCTTTTCCATATGTTTCCTATTAGTGTTTGTTCTTAAACCTCAGGCTTCCACACTAAGGAAGAGAGAGCAAAGCTGTATACTTTATCCAAAAATGCCTTGATAGTTCTTTTAGAAGATTAATTTAAAATTAGCAGCTTAATTTTTCTTTAATTCTTCATTTAACTCTGAGATTTGAACTTGTGATAGTGATTATGTGGTTCATGTTCTTAACAAATGTGAAAATATTTATCAATAAATAGCTAGAACACTCAGAATTAAAAGTAGTATCTAGGAAATTTAAATAAGGTTGATGATGTCATCGAGTTTTAGTTTGGTAGGGGATGGGAGAGTTGGTTTGAGTCAGACCTTAGAGGAAAAATAGAAGCTGCAAGTAATTGTAATAGTTCACTGTTTCAGTTGGAGTTTATTTTATTTTTTAATTAGTTGATTTATTTCTGCCGTGGTGTGCAGCTTGCAGGTTCGTAGCTCCTCTACCAAGGATTGAACCCTTACTCTCAGCAGTGAAAGCACAGAGTCCTAACCACTGGACTGCCAGGGAATTCCCTCAGTTGATGGTAATAATTGTAGCAATTAGGGAGAAAAGTTAGTTGAATTGGTGAAAATCTAAATTACATCCTACGATTATAATTTGATTGAAGTATATTCAATATCTCAGAGCCAAATAATTAGTGCTGGCTAGGACAGGTCTGACTGAGACCTCGTAATTATGGTAATAAACCATAATAAACATTTTCAATTCATTTATTCATCCAGCTAATACTTGTTGAACACCTACTTTATTCAAGGTAATTTTAGTTGCTGAGGACCTAGCAGCTAAAATAGTCTCTTTTTATCATGGAAGAGGAAGATAGAAAATAAACATATATCAAGTGGTATGGAGTGCAATGGAAAAATGAATGAGCACAGAGGTATAAGTCAATAGTTCTGACACTACTGTGATGTATGCTGGAAAGGAATGCTAATGTAACTGTGGCAGAACTGCTGGAGGGAGCTTAACTATCGACAAGTTGAGGTGGTGGGAATGAAAGGCACCAGCTGTTTTAGATCTCATTAACACTTGACATTATCTGACTGTTTCCCCAATTAATTTGGTATATGAAGGTATTACTTTTGATTTTAATTTCCATTTCCCTTATTACTAAACAGGTTGAACATTTTGTCAAATGTTTTTCAGCCATTTGGATTTTCTCTTCTGAGATATGCCTGTTAATTTTTTTTTTTTTTGCTTACTTTTCTATTATGTTATTTGTCTTTCTGATTGATTTTTAGGGTTTCTTTTTTTATATATTATGGATACCTATCTTTTGTTATATTCATGACTGTGTCATTTTTCAGTTGATTCTCCTGGGTTTATCAGGTACATATAAATCATATGCAAATGATATTGTACCTTCTTTCTTATTATTTTTGAAGGGATAGCTTGTATTTCAAGAAGACATTTTGCAAATCTTTACTATTCAGACAACTGGACTGTTGGTTTGTCTTTCTCTCAGTTAACGCCTAACTAAACCACATGAGATAAAAAATACAATTCTAATCAATAAACCACACAATAAGAAAACTGGGGAAAAAAAAAAAAAGAAAACTGGGAGACACCATAGAAACCTCATCATATAAGGAAGTATAGAGAGAATAATTTTATTTTTCTTTTAAATTAATTTCTTTATTTTAATTGGAGGCTAATTACTTTACATTATTGTGGTGGGTTTTGCCATACATTGACATGAATCAGCCTTGAGTGTTCATGTGTCCCCCCATCCTGAACCCCGCCCACCCAGGGAATGTAAAATACATATTTCCACAAATCATGAGAAATCCAGAGTCTAAACTGTTTAGATAGAAATTGGGGGTCAAAATAAACCAAATTCTCACCAAAAAAATAAAGAGGAATTTTTAAAGGCCAGTATACTATTAGCCACAAATGGCAGAGAGTGCAAAGGATCACTCAGAGGCTCATGGAGCATCCAGTACTCTCCACCCTCACACAAATTTCCAAAGTAGTATATACAATTAAAAAGCAGTTGTGATAGTACTGATGAACCTATTTGCAGGGCAGCAGCAGAGATGCAGACATAGAGAACAGACTTATGGGTGTCGGGGTGGGAAGGAAGGAGAGGGTGCGAGGAATAGAGACAGGAGCGTGAAAGCATATGCACGACCAAACAGACAGATAGCCAGTGGCCATTTGCTGTGTGACTTAGGGAGCTCAAACTGGGCCTCCTGTAACAACCTAGAGGGGTGGGAAGAGGGAGGGAGGTTCAAGAGAGAGGAGACATGTATATACCCTTGGCTAGTTCATATTGATGTACAGCAGAAACAAAAGTAATGTTGTAAAGCAATTATCCTTCAATTAAAAATGAATTTTTAAAAAGTTGGCTTGCCAATGCAGGAGAAGCAGAAAAATAAAGTTGTTGTTTATATAAGCCACTCAGTGTTTTGTTTTGTCTTTATTTTCACAGACTGGGAATAAAGTACAAAACAATAGCATTTTCAGATTCAGGAAGAAGTGATAAGATGTGTTTCCCTTTGCCAAATTAATGAGAATGTGTTTTATTTTGTTGTTGTTAAAGAGGATGGGATATGTGGATCCAGAATTCCTATTACTTATGTTTACTGAGTTCAGTTCAGTCGCTCAGTCATGTCTGATTCTTTGCGACTCCATGGACTGCAAAACTCCAGGCTTCCCTGTCCATCACCAGTTCCTGGAGCCTACTCAAACTCATGTCCATCAGGTTGGTGATGCCATCCAGCCATCTCATCCTCTGTTGTTCCCTTCTCCTCCCGCCTTCAATCTTTCCCAGCATCAGGGTCTTTTCCAATGAGTCGGTTCTTCACATCAGGTAGGCCAAAGTATTGGAGTTTCAGCTTCATCATCAGTCTTTTTCCAATGAATATTCAAGACTGATTTCCTTTGGGACTGACTGGTTTGATCTCCTTGCAGTCCAAGGGACTCTCAAGAGTCTTTTCTAACACCACAGTTCAAAAGCATCTGTTCTTCAGCCCTTAGCTTTCCTTATAGTCCAACTCTCACATCCATTCATGACTACTGGAAAAACCGTAACTTTAACTACAGGGACCTTTGTTGGAAAAGTAATGTCTCTCCTTTTTAATATGCTGTGTAGGTTGGTCATAGCTTTTCTTCCAAGGAGCAAGCGTCTTTTAATTTCATGGCTGCAGTCATCATCTGCTGTGATTTTGGAACTCCCAAAAATAAAGTCTGTCACTGTTTCCATTGTTTCCCCATCTTTTACCATGAAGTGATGGGACTGGATGCCATGATCTTAGTTTTCTGAATGTTAAATTTTAAGCCAACTTTTTCACTCTTCTCTTTCACTTTCATCAAGGGGCTCTTTAGTTCTTCGATTCTGCCATAAGGGTGGTGAATCTGAGGTTACTGATATTTCTCCCGGCAATCTTGATTCCAGCTTGTGCTTCATCCAGCCCAGCATTTCTCATGATGTACTCAGCATATAAGTTGAATAAGCACAGTGACAATATACAGCCTTGATGTACTCCTTTCCCAATTTGGAACCAGTCTGTTGTTCCATGTCCAGTTCTAACTGTTGCTTCTTGACCTGCATACAGATTTCTCAGGAGGCAGGTCAAGTGGTCTGGTTCTCCCATCTTTTGAAGAATTTTTCACAGTTTGTTGTGATCCACACAGTCAAAGACTTTGGCATAGTCATTCAAGCAAAAGTAGATGTTTTTCTGGAACTCTCTTGCTTTTTCAATGATCCACCGGATGTTGGCAATTTGATCTCTGGTTCCTCTGCCTTTTCTGAAACCAGCTTGAACATCTGGAAGTTTATGGTTCACATACTGTTGCAGCCTGGCTTGGAGAATTTTGAGCGTTACCTTGCTAGCATGTGAGATGAGTGCAATTGTGCAGTAGTTTGAACGTTCTTTGGCA